CGCGCACGCCGGGTGGGGGTGGGGCCCGGGGCGGAGCCCGGAGGAGGGGCGACAGAGCTAGCGGAAACCGGACGTGAGGGCTGGGGACCCACGACCGCAATCTTCGCGGTTTTTCTGGGGAGTAAGGACACTCCAAGCGGGAAAAGGGCCCTGCGGAGGAGAGGGGCGGCCATTAGAGGAGGCGTTGCATCAAAAGGTTGGGGGCTTTGGTCCTGAAGATGCGAGAACAGGTGCTGTTGAGGAACCGCAGAAGCAAAGGTGAAGCGAGAGAGGCGTCACTGTGGATGCGACCAAGAGGTTCAGTTTGGCGTGGTTGCTGCTACTGCGTAGACAAAACCCTTAGTTACCGAATTCTGAGTTTCTATCTCATCCTGTGGATTCTGGTAAACAACGGGGAGCTTTCAGCAGCGGCCAGTCGAACCACATTTTGTGCACCCGTGGCTGCGAAGGGTCTGGGGGGTTCAGGCCTCGACTGACCCTGAGAAAGGACTGTGCCTCACACCACCCCGGACAATCCACACAGCGCCCCCAGGCCATGGGGGCCCAAGGGTATGTCCAGAGTTTACTATGGTGCCTGTGTAAAATAGGCACTTAAGTATTTGTTAAAGGGTTTCACTGAATTAATGAACCACAGAAATGGCGTGGGTTGTACAAAGAAATGGCAGTGGGAGTAGAAAAAAGATTAAATTGGGAGACTTGCAGGTAGTTTGGGTGAAGAGTTGGCGACTGTTTGGATGGAGTAGTCCAGGATGACCACCAGGTTTTAGATAGGTTTAGACACGCTGGAATTTGAGGTACAAATTGAGACTGCATAGGTTGGATAGTCAGCTGGCAGTTCCAAGTCTGGATCCAAAACTTTCCCTAAAACCACAAGGGGGCAGCATGCACTTGGAGTGCATGCTAATTTCATTTTGTCCCAGCTTTCTGCATTTCTCCCCTGTCCTTTCTTCCCAACTCTCCACTACTGAGCCTCAAACTTTCTACATCCAAAAGAGAAATGTCAAAGCTCCTCTGTGCATTTGCATGTACTGTTCCCTTGGCTCTGGAAGTCCTCAAATATCATCTATCAAGAAGGCATCCCCTTCAATCCCTTGTTCTTTTGTGTCTGAAAGGACCTTGTGCCCACCTCGTAGAACTTTCCTTTTCTTTGACTGTCTTCCTTGCTATCCTGTGCACTGCAGGGATTAGGTAGTCCTATCTGTCTTCCCTACCCGGCATGGCATCTAACTTGGTAAACATGGGATAAATGGATTTATAAAGGAATGTCCTAATCACATCAATCAAATGAGAGCCTTCATCTTGAAAGCTGTACCGCTCCCCAAAATCCAGACCATTATGAGTATAGTTCCTATTCCAGTCAATAGGCAGGTTGACACCTTTACCCTCTACTACTCCCCCATCCTTACCATTAAGTTCATTGTAGACCAGGAAGTCAGCACACTCCTCCAGTGATCTCTATAGTTTATTGTCACTGTAATAAATACACTAATGGGAGAGGAGGATTTGCAAATCACAATTTCCAGGTAATTGGATCTCTGACCTCGGAGCCCCAACTGAGTGCAGACAGGGAGCCCTTGAATAAATACAAAGTTTCTTTTGCCTTGACAGATTGGCACAGGGCCTCGGAGCCTGGCTGCCCTGGGATGGGGAGTAGCTGTCACTCTTCTGCTGGCTTTACTTGCTTGGCAGCCTCTAGCTGGCAAAGTAGCTCATCCCACTGCACGAACTGCTTAGAGAGAAGCATTGTCCAAGTATAGGTCAAGGTGAGAACAGAAGTCTTGGATTTTACATCTGCCAAAAGGGGTGTGGGTGGGGGAGCAAGGAATACATAGGTTAGTTGGGATGGAATGGAATGGAATGAGAGAGGTGTGATGGAAAGGATAGAGCTTGAGGATAGCACCCATTAGGGTGAGCAGAAAGGATACAGTCTTGTTATATTCCTCCAGGAGAGCCTTGGACTCCTCAGTGATATCCATACACTGGTCCTGTAGGCCCAAAGTGAGAGAGAAATTGGACAAAGCCCCCACCTCCCATTAAATTCCTGCTTCATCATTCCAATAGAGCCTAGAAAAAGTGATGCTTAACCCTAGAGCAAAGGAACAAATTGCTAAAGGGGCACTTTCAGGCTTCAGAAAGGGTGCCCTAACAGCCATCCAAAAACTGATGGAAAGGGAAATGGGATACAAATTAAGTAACTTTTCCTCTGTTTCTTTTTTTGGGTCTCTTATTTCCAAACCTCTCTGAACTTGAAACTAGGGTCTTCGAAAAAAGAGAAGTGGGGGGATCGTCCATCCTCTAACATCCTCAGGATTTTTGGGTGTGTGTGCACAAATGAATGTGCCACTGGGAACTGAACCTGAGCTATATCCTCAGTCCTTTAATTTTTTTTACATTTTGAGACAGGGTCTGGTCAGTTTTCCCAGCCTGGGCTCAAATCTGTGATTCTCTCACCTCTGGCTCCCAGAGTGCTGGGATTACCATGCCTAGCTCCTAGGAATTGCCAACTTTAACCATCTCGAGTCTTAAAATAGCCCTACTCTGAAAGGCAGGAAGCCTGGATGTGACCCTAGGCAAACCCCCCCCACACTTACTGGAGATCAAACTCAAGTCCTTGAGCTTGCAAGGTAGGCCCTGGAACCACTGAGCTAAATCCCCAGTCCCTCCTTTCTCCTTTTGAGATGGACATAAGTAAGATAAAGGATAAACCTCCAAGTTTCTAAGTAGAAAGGCCTGAGGCTCCTTCCCCAGGTGGCAGGAATGGGAAGGAGGTGCCTTACCACCTCTGCTTTCTCTTCCAGGCCTCTCCCCTCCCATACCTGCTGCTGGATGTGGATCTGGGCCAAGTGCTGCAGGCGGGCAGCATGCTCAGGAACAGCTGTAAAACACAACACACACTGCCTGATGATATTGTCCCCTCCCCCGGGACTGCTCAATAGTCTATTAGGTCTTTGGCAGGATTACAGTATTGAGTGGAGAAGCTAAACAAACGAAAGGCTTCATCGACCACTGTAGCCAGAGGGGGGAGGAATGGCTCCCTGCCCACCCTGGTCTTAACTCCAGGACCCACAGAGGAGGGGAAGAAGAGGTGCAGAGGAAAGACAAAAACCTTGGAGTTCCCGGTATTGCCCTTACCCTGCCTTAAGTACTAGGAGCACAGCCGGATAAACATAGTTTTGTCTATCATGGGATCTGCTTCTTTGCTCTCAGCCCAGCAGGGCCAGATCTGCCTGGCCCGGGAACAGGAAGCCTGAAGGTGGACTAAATGCATATCCCTAAACTTGCCAGGTGGAATCCAACATCCAGAGCCTGGCCACCATGCTGGGCCCACAGCTTAAGACTATCAAGATACTCAGTGAGTAGCTGAGCAGGGGAAAGGAGGGGGTGCTGGGAAAGATACCTGGAGACAGGCAAGATGGGTATCTGGATTCAATTAAAGGTATTGCCTGCTTGTCAAAGCCCAGGCCTAGGGACTCTCTCAGTGCAGCAGGAAGAATTCACATACTTGGCAGGGATGACAGTAAAAACTGGGCTCTACAGCACCCTGAGGGACAGATGCTAAAGGGTGGGTAGAAGGTAGAAGGAATGATTTGGGGCTGCTACTGTTTATGCTAGTGTCTTTAGGCCCAAACCCTCCAAGGTCCTGAAACTAGACTCTCCACCCTGGTAATTTTAATCCTCCTGCAGGTGGCAGGAATCCCCAGGGTGGAGAATAAATAAAACGAGCAGACCCAGCCTGAGCCTGAGGAACCTGGAACATAGAGAAGTCTTGCTCATCCACCCACCTCCCCAAGCAGCATAGTGGAGCTGCATTCCCAGAGAAGTACCTTTAATGGAAGCACTGTCCAGCATAGGCACCAAGGTATCCACCTGCTCCAAGAGTGCAACCTGGGAGAGAATAAACTGCTCCTCTAAAGCATAAAGACAAGACAATGAAGTGACAATGAAGCAAGCCTGACACTGTTATTCCCTGGACCAAGCATCTGGCAAGGGTGAGGGTGAGGCCCTGGAGCTTTGGGAAGTAATCCTGCCCACTGTCTTCTTCTCTAGGTGCACAGTCCCCTCCTACCCCCGCAACTCTCTTTCATGCCTCTTGACACAGAGCTTCTTCCAGCCTCTAATGACAACTTAGCAAATGCCTCGTAGGCTATGGGAGTTTTGGGTATATTGGTTTGCCACCAATACAAGCCAGGGCTTCACTTGATTTCTAGTTAATGAGCAGTTACTAATTGTGACAAAATTAAAGAGATGTGGCTAAACAAAGTCATTCTGTGTAGCCCGGGCTAGCCTCAAACTCATGGCAGTCTTCCTGCCTCAGCCTTCTGAGTGCTGGGATTATAAGCATGTACCACCACACCTGGCTACCAGCCCTTTATATTTTCAGACAAGGTCTCACTAAGTTGCTAAGTTATTCAGGCTTGAATTTGTGATTCCCCTACCTCAGCCTCATGTGTAGCTGAGGTTACAGGCATGTGCCACCAAACCCAGTGGAATATCTTCTGCATGAATGAACAACCATAGGTACTCACAAAACTCTAGATGTGGAGTGGCTGACTGGTATTCTTGCCTAAAATCCTGGAACCCCAGAGATTTCTCACACAAAAGAGATGTTGAAACTTTTGCCAATATTCTCTCTTCTCCTGATGATATTATCTCCCTCAGTCTTTCCTAGAAGAACTTCTGTCCAGTGATCAGAATAAAAAACATTCTGAAGGAAATTTCTATGGGTGGACTATTGACAGAACACTGGAGTAGCTCCAACTGTGGCTAGATCATGACCTGCAGCTGGCCCAGAGATATCCTGGACCTAGTACCTACTACAGGATGCACAGAATCACCTCAGACCTTTGCTCACAGCCAGGCCAGAAATCCAGACAGGAACTTTCAGGGCTGTACCTATGACAAGATGGGAGAGTGGGTGCAGCTCCCCACAACACACATCTTCAGGGGCATGTACACACAAAGTCCAGCATTACCTGCTAAGATAAACTGCAACTTAGAGGCATCAGGTATGGCAACGCGGTCGATGTACTCTGGGTCCAGGTATTTGATCAGGTCTTCAACTAGAAAAGTAACAAGATGGGAAAATAGAACTAACAGAGTGAGGTTTTATAAAGAAAGTTTAGGGAAAGGTCATCCTTGGGGAGAGCCTTGAGTGAGGAGCTGACATCCACAGTGACCCATCAGCAGCATCCACCAGGTTCGCTGTTCCATTTCCTTGTTTCTCCATTGTTATAACCTGCTGGCTGCCCTCACATTTTGGATTTAGAAATATAATTACTGCCAGCAGTCTGGGACCCCCAGAATTCCCACTGCCCTATTTTCACCTGGTAGAAGACCTCTTTCTTCCTCAATGCCACCAATACAAGCCAGGGCTTCACTTGATTTCTAGTCAACGAGCAGTTACTAATTGTGACAAAATTAAAGAGATGTGGCTAAACAAGCCTGGTGTACTCAGAGCCTGATTTCTTTCCTGCTTCTAAACCTTGGCTGGAGAAATCTCATACTTTCTTCCCCTTCTTCACCAAAAAGAAGCTTCCAGGCAGGGCTCTCATAACTTAGGATATTGGAATGGGCTTGAGGTTTATCCACAAGGTAGAAAAGCACACGCCCAATTCACTTCAGCAGGGAAATGTCTTTACATTCTTTGTATCATAGGATACTCTAATGACCTACTGACTGAAGGGCCAAGGTCAGGTCCCAGGAATCACAGGTATGGGAAGCAGGGCAAGCAGGTACCCCATGGAAGCACTTACTCTTTTTGTACAGAATCTTCACCCTTTCCCTCTTACTGGCAATGTTCCCCAAAGCCACCTGCACCTTGACCAGACCATCAGCTACCTGTAAAGGACATGGAGATTAATTCTAAATATACCATCTGGGGTCGGGGATTTAGCTCAGCTGGTTTGGTGGCCTGCCTCGCAAGTGCAAGGACCTGAGTTCGATCCCCCGTACCACAAAAAAATAAATAAATAAATAAATATACCATCTGGTTCAAGGCTTGGAAGTAGTAAAGACCCTTTATCCTGCCAGGCATGGTAGCACATACCTGTCATCCCAGCCCTTGGGAGAGTGAGGCAGGACAACTGCCAAGAGTTCAAGGCCAGCCTATGTTACAAAGTAAGTTCAGCCCAGGCTGAACTACATAGCATGACACAAAACTGTCTCAAAAAAAGAAAGAAAGAAAACAAAAGAATCTTTTTAAAAATTTATTTTTTTGGTACCGGGGATCGAACTCAGGACCTTCTGCTTGCAAGGCGGGCAGCGGAACCACTGAGCTAAATTCCTGGCCCTGCAAAAATCTTTATTCCCCTAGACTACCAAACCTCAGAACCTCAGTAATCTGTGTTAGTAGTCCCCTTGTACTAAAAAAATGTAAGGCAGGCAGACAGCCACAATGTAAAAAAATGTAAGGCTGGAAGACAGTCACAAGTTCAAGGCTAGACCGGGCTACACGGTGAGTATGACGACAACCTGAACTACAAAGCCAGACCCTGTCTCAAAAAACAAAACACACACACACACACACACACACACACACACACACACACACACAGAAAATGCACTCCACCTTCAGGAGAATCTTTTTTGGGGGGTGGAGGAATAACGGGATTGAGCCTTGCCCCAGACCATTGTTAAAATTATTTATTTTGAGACAGGGTCTCACTATGCAAACTCATGGCAATACTCCTGCCTCAGCCTCCTGAGTGCTGGGATTACAGGCATGGGCCCTCATGCCTGGCTCTTCATTTGTTTTGAGATAAGATCTTGCTAAATTATCAAGTTGACCAGGTTGGGCTCAAACTTAGGATCCTCTTCTGGGATCACAAGTGTATACGAGTATTCAGAAAAATCTTTAATGTGAAAGAACAGAGAATCATGTACACTACAGGGAGGCTGAAGTCTGATTACAGAGGTATTTTGGAGTTTATGAGGTACCAGTATATATTATATATTCCCTGCTTCATAAAATCCTGGGTTTGAGCATGAGAAATGCAAGTATCTCATCCAGGCCTCCACTACCTCATAACTAGATGACTGTCCAGGTGTCTAACTGGCATGCCTACCTCCAGCCCTATCCCCTCCACTTCAATATTTAAGAGTCAAATAAAGGAAGAGGCTATGGAAATGAAGAGCTCACTCAGTATTTAGGGTAAAGAATGCTAACATTCAAGGAACAAATATGTGTAGGAGGCAAATAAGACTGAAAACAGCAGTCAGAAGGTAGAAGGAAATCAGGAGAATTAGAGTCATAGATGCCAAAGAGAATGTTTTGAAAAGTTAGTTTTCAAATGAGAGTATGATCTTCAAGTGACAATTAGTTCCACAAGAAGTATACAGACATCTTGCTGAAGTGGCACATGCCCATAGCACTTGGAGGGTGAGGATGACTACAAGTTCAAGGTCAGCCTGGGCTACATAGTTTAAGGGCAGCATGGACTACACAGTGAGACGTCTCTTAACAAACGAGCAAACAAAAGAAGTGTACATACAGACATCATTACCTCTGATTCCTTAGCTGCAAGATATGCCTGACACTACATGTGAAATTCTTCAATAAATATTCTTTCCATTTAGACAGGATTAGTGTACCTGAGCTTCTATCAAAATTCAGTCATTGTTGTGAACTGCCAGCCCATGTCTGAACACCCAGTACTCAATCCTTGACTCTCCCTAGTCCTGGCCTTCTCAGACTTCATTCTTCACCTCGTGGAGCCTTCCTTATCCAACTCCAGTCTGCCTTCTCCCGGGTCCTATGGGCCTCTCCCTGAACAATTCTTTTAACAATTTTGTAGGGCTCCAGGACTGCACTTCCGCTGTAGACTTCAGTTCTCACTGAAACTCATTAGCTTCTTAAGTGTGTCAAGTCACCCCAAGTAGTCTTCGAGGGCTGGGGCAGAGTCTTAGTCACTGTCGTCAGTAAGCCCATCGCAAAGAGACCTAACTGACGGCTGAGCCCCCTCATGGGAATAGACCTGGAGCCTCCAATCTGCTGTAGGTGGCTTCAGATCTTTGTTATTTCCAAGGCCGGATTGTAGACCTCCAGACTGGAAGCGACTGTATCCATCCCGAGGACGGGACCAGTAGATCATTCTTGCCCTGGACCCGAAACGGACCACCAAAGCACTCACCTTCCGCGAGCCGCGGGCTCCGATTGGTCCGTACACCCAGCGTTCCAGCTGTTCCACTCTGGCCTGTAACCTCTGTACATCCGTCAGGGCTGCCATCGCTACTGCCACCCTGCCTCCGCCGTGGAAAAACCAGAAGGCGGGACGTCCGCCCAAATAGGAAGGCTGGCCAATCCGAGTGCAAGCGTGGCCTCTACGCAGGAAGTGGCGTCACGATTTAGCTTTTCAATGCCGGAAGCAGCCGGTCAGACCAGTGAATGATGGCAAAAGCTGTCTGGTTACCTAGGCAACGCTACTTGTCCTGGCCCTGTCCCGGCTTCCAGTAACTTCTAGCATAGGGTTGACATTTTGCTTTTCTTCTAATTCCAGAATACCAAAGAGTTTTCTCCGCCACATTCCCTGAAGTTGCACGTATAAATACACCTGCTCTTCCAAGAGAGGTCCATTCCCACAGATCAGTAGGAAGATTCTTGTGTGCAATTATCATAAACTTTTGGAGTCTTTTAAGGTTCAAGAGATTAAGTGACAAGAACCAGGTGGAGGAGCGCATACCTGTAATCCCAGCACTCGGGAAGGCTATGGAGGATTGAAAGTTTGAGCTCAGCTTGGGCAATGTAAAAAAACAAAACAAAACAAAACAAAACCCCCAAAACTAAAAATATCAGGTGTGATGGTGCACCCCTGAAATTCCAGCACTTGGGAGGCTGAAGCAGGAGAATCGCCATGAGTTCGAGGACAGCTTGGGTTACACAGTGAGTTCAAGGCCAGCCTGAACTACATAGCAAGACGCTGACTCAAACAAAAGAACAAAGGCGTGGGGAGAGAATTCTATCCCCACATGAAAGCCCTGGATTCAAATCCCATATTGTTAATAATAATAATAAAAAAAATTTAAATGACTTGTCCAAGGCACTATGGTGAAGAATCAGGATTTAAACTCAAGCAGTCTGATTCAAGAAATTTCTGTTCGCATGGAACTTTACAATTCTGCCTTCATTTGTAGGAACTCCTGGCCCAACACTGCCTGTGTACCAAATCATTCCCACCTCCCAGACCCAAACAAAAAGAGAAGGCACTGAAGAGGAAGGGATCACAACTTTATTTTCCAGATGTGACCCCAGGGACATCTCCTTCATAACACTCCAACCTGTCACCTGGCTCCTGAAGAGAAACTAGGGTGCCACAGATGACACTGACACAGAGGGCATATGAGGAGATGAGAAGGGTGGCTGGGGAAAGAATTCTTTGGTAGATGCTGTGGAATTGGCCAGGGAGGGGGTGCCCTCCTTTTACAATGAGGTAGATGAAACATTAAAGTAAAATCTTTAGCAGGGATGTTGGGTGCAGTATCAATCAGGGCTGGGGCCCAGAGTGGGCATCTTGAAAAAAATCAAGGTAAGAAGGTGTTCCCCACCCGCCAGCAATGGGGCTGGGACTTAGTTCTGAGTAGGAGCTCTCAGGGCAAGAGGTTGGTAGGGGGCCCTGTAGAGGGTGGGGGTGCAGGGTTGGTTGGGCCCTGGGAAGCTGTTACAGGCTGGCGACGGGCAAAGAGGACGCCTGGTGAAAGGGGGAGAAGATGGTAAAAGGCAAAGGAAAAGCAGGAGAGGGTGGGGCACAGAACAAAAGGGAAAAAAATGTAAGTGTCCTGATTGCCAGAACACCACACACACACCCTTGCCACAAACCATTAAGGAGAATCCCCTCAGGTCAGTGAGAGATTCCTATGTCAGTGTAGATACCCTCAAACAGGTAAATAAGAAATATTGACACTGATACATAGGCCCATGACAAGGCAAACATTCCATGATAACCATGCCACAAAGGCCATGCCTTAAAGATTACCCCCTTTAACTCATGCCAAGGGAGCCATCCCCTGAACCTGTACCCATGCAAATTCAGATATCTCTGATGATCATGCTAGTAAAAAAAGTCTAAAGTCCCCATGCCAGACTAAATACCGACTCCATGCCAGTGTAGACAACCTGCAGTACCCATACCAGTGTAGACCACCCCGTTGATCTCTAATGCCATGTTGATACTGCTGATGCCACTGCCTGCCAGATTGAGGGGCTCATCCAGCTGCTCTTCTGTCCAGGAGGGGGCAAGGAAGTCACATTTTGGTCAGGCTTCAGACTTTGACACCCCCTATTCCTATAGAAAGTCTCCATTCTACTTCAGCCCCATACCTGTTAAACACAGTTGTCTACAGAAGGATCTGTCTGCCCACTTCCAGCACCTATTAGGTGATGGGTCTACCCTCCCTCAATGCACACACTGGAAACCCCCTCACCAACAAGCCCCTCCTCACCCCTCAGGGGAATCTTGGCACGGGATAGGAAACTAGGGGGTGCACCAGGTCGAGGTGGGTCCATGGGGCCCATGAGCACAGCCCTCTTCTCTGGAGGCTCCTCTGGTGCCATCTTCTTCCGTACAGGTCCCAAGGTGAGGCCCACAGGTAGTGCCAGACGAGGGGTGGGAATTCCGCTCTCCTCTGGAAGAACAGGTCATTCTGCCTCCTTGGTCAACTTGTTTTTTTGTTTTTGTTTTTTTGAGACAGTCACACTCTGTAGTTCAGGCTATTCTTGTTGTTTGTTTGGTACCAGGAATTGAACTCCGGTCTTTGAGCTTGCACAGCAGGTGGTGGCACCACTGAGCTAAAACCCCAGCCCTAGTTCAGTCTATCCTTGAGCTCACTATACTTGAGCTCAGGCTGGCCTTGAACTCATGGCAATCCTCTGGCCTCAGCCTTCTGAGTGCTGGGATTACAAGCATGCGCCACCATGCTTGACTAGGTCAACCTGTTGTTGTGTTTGGTTCTCTCCCAGGCCTAAGGGACTAAAAAAGAGGTCACTCAAACTCACGGAGCAACTTCAATTGTGCTTTCCTTCCAGGGTCCCAGCCTGGAGGCTTTGAAGGTGTGAAATTCCAAGGGCTAATACAGATGTCTATGTTGGTCTAAGAGAATTTGGGGGATTTCCCTGTTCTTGGTTGTAGTGGTTGTTGTTGTTGGTACCGGAGATCGAACTCAGGACCTTGTGCTTGTGAGGCAGAGGAACGACTGAGCTAAATCCACCCCCCCTGCCCTCTTGGTTGTTAAGTAATTCAAGTCACAAGAGGTTCAAACCACAAGGAAATAGGAGCTCTGGTTGGACAGGTGTGGAGTGAAGCTGCTATGTATAAAGGACCTTTTCCTAAGCTTTGGTCTCATACAACTGTAACCCATAACTGGGAGCTCCCAAACCTCAGAACCCCTATACTTGAGATGCCCAAACTTCAGCACCCTGTCCAATGTTGCTACTTTTCATATTGGAAATGTCTCCGAGATCTCAGGGTTCCTACATTTTAATGTTTCTTATACTTCGGTGCCTCATACTTTGGGCGCCCCTTAAATTTCCACCCTTCTCCCCTCGCACCTTTCTTAATAGGGCTCGGGCTCAGCTGGGCGCACGCGTGTACCGGCAGGCCAGAAGCAGAGCTCTGGACAAGACCGGTGCCTACTTTTCATATTGGAAATGTCTCCGAGATCTCAGGGTTCCTACATTTTAATGTTTCTTATACTTCGGTGCCTCATACTTTGGGCGCCCCTTAAATTTCCACCCTTCTCCCCTCGCACCTTTCTTAATAGGGCTCGGGCTCAGCTGGGCGCACGCGTGTACCGGCAGGCCAGAAGCAGAGCTCTGGACAAGACCGGTGCGCC